ATACGCGAGATGGTTATTCATAGTTTTGATTGGGCGCGCGGGATCGGCGTATTTCTCAAATCGTTTCTCATGGGTTCGTCAGCGTAATCACCGTCGTTACGTTTACTCCGCCGGGAGCGGAATACGGATGAAAGAAAAATTCATTCGGCACGTAAACTTGGCAAATAAACTTCGCCCTTGAACATCTTCGCTTTACATCGCTGCCTTCTTTTTCCAGAGAAATTCATAATACTGAACTCCTACGGGAATATGCTGATTTTACGAGCGCGCTGTTATGTCGGCGTCGGGCAATATTTTTCGAAAATTGTCGGAGCCGTAAAGTACGTAATCGCGACTCAATTTTCACTTTGAAAGGAACGCCCATGCTGGGCTCTTCCCATTTTCCCTTTTCCTTCTCCGTTCTCTTCGATATGCATCCTCCCTGTATTTAATCGCGTATATCCTGCCGCTTCGCCATTATTTCGTGCTTTGCACATTACTTTCTCCCTTCTTTCCTTTTTACGCGTTTTATTAAATGACGTCTAACTATCTCGACGGCTATCTTCCACACTTGTGCGATGGATTATGATCTCCTTAACAGAAAGAGAGATCGCCGCAGAAATGAGCGAGGCGGTGGAAGGCTTATTCGCGAGATATTATGAAACTATTGTAACTAACTACATCGTTAGAGCATAGTTAAGTAATAGTTATTTGTTAGAAAGATTGTTAAATGTTAACATTTCAAAGTAACAAAGTGCGAATTTCCAGCGCGCTTGTATCGCGCATTTAATGTTAATAAGGATAATAATCTCAATTTATGGGATGAATGATGTTAGTGAGAATTTTTTCGGAAAAAAATCAGACAGTTTCGAGCAATTGAGAACGAATGGGATAAAGGACATTTGAGCGTAAGAATTTGACAAGCGTTTTCAAAGCTATCGATAATTGTTATCGCGCGATCGTGAACTCGAAGCGCAGAAAGATGAAAGAATAGCAAGGAAGCTTCTATTGGCTGAAAGGATGCGATAGGAAAGGAAGAGCGCACGGTGAAGACGCGCGTCACACATCATCGTGCAAACAAGCGTGGAAAAACGCCCTCGAAGTCAATTCGGTGCAGCGAAGGCGGAGAACGAAGCGTGGAAAGGACGTTCCGTCAGCCGCGGATGCATTACCTTCCGCCAGGCGTCTTTTACGACTTTTTGGGAAGTCACAACAAAGTTCGACAGCGAGTTTCGCACAATGGTTCTTCGCTATCGTCCCCGCCTTCTTTCGTCGGACCTCTCATTTCTTCCGACTCGTTTCTACAGACGTGCCCCGGCATTGTCTTTGCGCGTCGTCGAATGTCCGCGTTGTTCCCGTAAATACGACCGGCCGACACCAAATCCTTTATGCCGATTATTCTCAATAAAGTTTCCGAAGCTGTTCGTTAAACTGTTTTGAGATTGCTGCGGCGCCGACGTAATTCAGTTTCGAGGTTTAATTTCGTTAAGAAGAGAGTCGGATATACACTTCGATTCGAGTCGACCAGACACGTGGGGCTGCTAAAATGAACTTTCGAATCTATATATTGAATCTATATATTGGATTTCTACCTTTCGAATCGTTTCCGATGATAAGAGTAGATTTCCGCAGAAATGTGATTCGAGATCTGTATAAAAATATCTGGATATCGTAGATCAGGAATTGGAAAACTTGGAGAGCAATATTCGTACTTTCTAACAATGTATTCCGATCATTTAGGCAGGAAATTGATAACTTAATAAACACTAGCATTTTGTCGATAGCATAAAGACAATTTATGTAATTTTCCCAAATACACGCAGTACTTATGAAATCTACATTGTATTCCATAATCGAAATTATATATTTTTTACTAATTTTTTTTTAATTAACAATTATGTATTTGATGAAATATAGGATGTATCTTTCCATTTCATTGAATTTATATAATTTAATTTAAAAAATTGACGTCAATCCGATGGGTTTCATTTAATTTCATCAATTTCAATTCATTTGATTCATAAAGTTGATTTTACTTTATGCTATCGAGACTCTAAACTTTTACTTGATTTTATACGTTTAAAATTATGTCCACTTCATCATCTAAATCCTTAATAAACACGGATGATAAAAGGAGAATTGTATCAGTAATATGTTATAAAACGAACCCATAACACTTCTCACGCTCTAAAACGCGCATTATCTGCATTTAAGGCGCGCATAAACTTCACACGGTTCTCTCCATTTCCTTTTATTTCACCCGATAATTTTGCACATCTCGTTGACGATTCACGCGGTTAACGCGGGTCGTACAAGTGTCGAGGCAAACCGGTACATCCTTCGCGCGCAACTTAGTACAACATATCTCCCCTTGAATCATCTCAACAACACGCGGACGTACGACTCACCGATTACGAAAACGGCGTCGAACGGTTATTCGGAGCGTCCGAAACGATCGTCGTCGGCTCAGCAGCCATCATCAGCGCCGAGTAACCTTAACGCGCGAGAGTCGATGCTGACCGATAATAATATTCCATTACAACAGCAGGACCGTGCATCACCGATCGTCACGCTGACTCTCTTCGCGTACCGTCCACGACAGCGATAGCATCTACATGAGGCGTTAATTACGTACCGTCCTACCGCGTTACGCTGGCACTCGGGATATCTCGCGGTGGCCGAACGAAGACGAGGGAACCGTCAACTCGATCTCTCCTCTTTCCTCCCGCTGCCTACTATGCCGTTCGCGCTCCCACCGACTGTCTTCCCTTCTCAAGATCGCGGGCCTCTATCGCGAGACGCAAACACAAGATCAAATTCCAACGTTTATTCAGACTCGCCGCCGGCGCGCGATCTTCGGATCCTTTCTATCTCGCGCCGTTACAAGATAGGAGGAAGACAGATGCGCCGGGATGGTATGAGGAATCGTCTGTAATATCGAACGTACAACCGTCTCGAGCGACACCTTTAAACCGGTATCCGACGTTCCGTGACGATGGATCAACCTTGGAATGATCGAGATAGTTATGGATACGAATAAATAATACATGCCAAGCGCATCCATCATTCGTCATTGCAATAACTCTTGAATATTTTTACTCGAAGGTAAATAAATTCCGAATTAAGTTTTTTAATTCTTTCAAAGATGTCAAAGATTATTCCATTGTGTTTCTTTTTCAATGTCTTATTATAGATTTTTCACGATTTATCCTTTCGATTTATCGGTTATTATTTCTTTTTATACACGGCTCCGAAGGATATTACATGTGTCTTAGCCAAGGAAATTTGCGCACACATTCCGTGCAATTATTCAAGAATTATGAATGAATACGCATCTCATGTTCGACTCGGAGATGTATGGAGTTACCCATTTCCGTACTTCAATACCGCGCTAACTTATACCTCATGTGTAAGGCTGCAGCACTGTTATAAACACATTCTGTGTGTCAATTGGCTTGATTCTAGTGCCTGTGCGGAATAGGTAATCTGCGTGTTTCAATTATAAACCTAGAGCTACACACGAGATGTAGCGTGCGTGTACCACGGTGTGAGCGTATTCCGCGCTTTACCTAGGCTCGGAGATACGCGAGGAATTGATAATTTGCAGTTTCTAACGAGACGCCTACTGGATTATACGTATGGCATGATTCTATAAATGGATGTTCTGTATTCCGCGTAATCGAATATTTTCAGCTACGTTATTTTAACCAATGATTGCAACCGCATCACCCGTGATTTTACACGGCCGATAAGCGACGTCTGAGCGAGTTTCAGGCACTATTATCCGAATATTCTTGGAATCTTGCGATACGAAAAAAAAAAAGAAAAAGAAAAAGGAAAACCGTATGGCATGGAATTAATTTAGCGTGGGCTATGCGCATCCTAGCGACAGGCAATACATGAGAGAAACAGCAAACCATCGGACGAGAAAATAGCTAGTGACAGATTCAGTCGATGGAAAAGAATTGTGCAGCGGGTGTCGAAGCATTTTACCGCAAGACGAATATAGAAGCTCCACGGTCTTCTCTCCTTTCACGGCGATTTCAGCGAGCACTGTCGGTTTGAGTGACTGAAATTCCGTTTGATCATTCGTAGTTTAAAGCACGTTTCGTACGTACTTTTTCGCAAACGCGAGATATACTTTCTCACTCACTCGATTATTAATGATGAGATAAAAACGCCGATCAAGCGCGAGCTTAAGTAAAATATCTCAAATAATATCAGATGGAAAATCTTGTCTTTATTGCGGTGAAAGGTGATCCGGCGTACCGGTAATAAATTCCCAAATATCTAGGATCGAGTAAAACCCAGGATTACAAAGAGCAGTCGTAAACTTGCTCGGGTGAACTCGAGTAATGTTACCTTATCTGCACTAAGAGCGATTCTCATTAACCCGCCGTCGCGCCATTACGCGCTGCGGAAAATGCTCCGTCTCTCTTTAGGCGAAAAGTTAGCCGACATATTTGGTATTAAAATACTTATGCATCACTTACCGCTGTTGTTGTATCGCTCGACCCTCGCTTCCGGATCCTGTAACAAACAAACAAGTTTTTCGTTTAGAAGATATATCAGCGAAGAGAGAATATGCGAGTTTTACTTTGCGTATACACCATAAGTTTCTAAACATTTATCTTCCAAGAGGTATCGTTTATCGTATTCAGATGCGATACGACCAACAATCCGGAATTAAACGAGTAAAAATTGTAGCATCGAGTTATTAAAATTGTCATTTCTCCTCGCATAATTGCTATTCCGTTCGCATATGGAAATATTCGAGCGGCGCGAACGCGTAAAAATTCAAACTCTGTCTTATCAAAGTAAGGAATAAGCGACGTCGGTGCGCTGGCGAACTTTGTGATATGACGTATAGTCCTCACTCTACCAGTCGCACGAGTGTGGGATACCGAATTTAAATTCTTTTCGCAGTTCCCTGGGAATCCGCCTTGGAAAACGAGCGATGGGGACGGGGGTAGAGTGTGCGACTGCAGAGAGAAATATTAATTCCAGGTCTTTCTCTCGCCCGCGTCGACGTAAGGAGTCGCGGACTATGTGTGGTGCTACTCATATTCCGAGTACGTAGTGGTAACGGACCCATGAGAGAGAGAGGCAGCACGGAGGTAGGAGGGGGACGAATAAATTTCCGTCCCGTGAGTCGGTAATGGAAGAAATGGCGGGGGCACGCGTGGTCGGGTTAACAACGCGCACGAGGGTGGATTGTTAAATCCGGAGGGTAGGCCCGGACAACGTGAGCGCAGTCGCTCATACGAAAAAACACGCGCGGCCTTATCGATATTTCAAGCGAGCGACGTAACAGTCGAAGGACAACAGTCAATCAAATAATTGAGAAAAAAACCTTTTCGGAATAACGAATTAACGCGATTTATAATGGATAAATCGTTATTTTGCGAAAAAATTATCAATCAGCAATGAGAAATAATTTCCATCTTGTAAAAAAACTGAAATATGAATAGCTTTATGCAAAATAAGTTTCAGAAATATCAATAAAGTATGCTTCGACATTCCTCGAAAATTGATTTACCGTGAGAATATTCTGAATTTTTTCATTCGTATAAATATTTCTTTTTTTTTTTCTATTTTCAATTATTGCACACTGAGCAATTCTTTGAGTTCGATCTTTGGCTATCACCTTCTATACGACCTTTGAATTTTGCAAATCGAAGCGAGTCGAATATCTTGAAATGTCAATGCAATCGCATCGGGTTGCCAAACGACTCTTTTTCTTCCTTTCTCTCCCTCTCTCTCTCTCTCTCTCTCTCAACTATACTATGCGGGTGGCGTACGTACACGGTCGCCAGTAGTGGAGGACGCAGAAATGCAGCGGCGCGATGCGGTCAGATTCGCGAGTAGTTGAGCCGATTGCTGACCGCGTGCATTTTGCGGACAATGCTTTCCGGGAAACGTATCCTGGATCCAGTTTTCCCCTGCGGGAGCGGGATGCGGGGACAAACGGTCGAAGAGATAGCGCCGGCCCCCTGCACATCGGCTGCATCGTCATTCGATGCGTAACTACATCCAATTGCTACCCGACAAACCTTCCTGGGAATTCAGCGAGCCGTAGAGCAGCGGCCGTTGCTGGCTGCAGCGCGGCGCGCAGGGGAGACGACGAGCCGAGGAGCGAAACATCGGCGACGGCGGAAGGGAAAGGTGATGGACGAAGAATAAGAGAGGCATTACACGCAGGTAGGCTACGGCTTGCAGCACAAAGTGCAGCGAAACAGCTTGAACGCCTACCATTTGCCGAGTGACATATGTTCGGAAGGGAAAGCCGCTCGGACGCAAGGACGACAGCGGCGGATATAAAATCCATCACCGTCGCTTCAACGAGTGACTGTCGGTCGATACGACGTCATCGCTGTCGCCGGCGTCGTCGCCGTCGTTCGAGCTCTATCGACACTTGGGTATCTTTATTTTTCTCCGCCGCTAGGTTTTCTCCGCCTCTTCGCCGGCTCTTTAATATCGCCCTAACTATTTACTTCCTCGTTCGCCACTCGATATCACCAACGGCACGCCGCATAAACCATCAACGCCTCGACGTAACGACCGGCTTTATTACCGCGGATGCGCGGTTTGTCATTAGCGATTTTACTGTTTAACATGCATAAGAAACGATCCGACCTCTAGTTTATCCGGTGGAAGTCGCGTTATATCACCGGTAGTTATTAACTAATTGAAGTTATTATTTCACAGTCGTAAAGCAGACAAGGAAGGGGGGGGGAGGGGAGGGCATCCTCCGACTCCGGGACAGGCCTTCTTTATCTGGTCACGACACGATGCCAAGCCGGGGGGGCCGAGACACGCCTCGCGGAAGGACCGCGCGGCGAGGGAGATAGTAGAAATGGGACTTGACCGTTCAGACATCGCGCCTTCTCGTCCCTTTCGATCTATTATACGGTCGGTACACGACGCGCTCTCGTCGTGCGGTACGTACAGCGCGGCAACGGTCACGGCCCGGTCGTGCGCAACGAACGGTACGGCACGCTTCCGCGGTAACTCCGCAGCGCGGTTATTATAAATTCTCGTAGAGTCGGCGCGGAGTAGGTAGCCACGTAGCCTACGTACTTGGATAATAGTCTGAAACAAGCACCGCCACGGGAAGGGCGAGGTCAACTTGTCTGTCGCATATTAAAGACACCGGAGCTTGTATCTCCCTTGCGCGCGCGAAGGGCAGGAATGCGCATGAACGCGAGGTTAGCCGGCTCGTAAGTGGCTCGTATATTCGACGGACAGGCCGTGCCCCCTGTATCGACGAGCAGGCGGAAGAAGTTTCAGCCCCGGTCGCTGCTTCGTCGCGATACGGTCTATTGCCGCGGACTTACGGGCGGCGCAGGTAAATTAAAGGAGCGCGCGCGACAAGCGCATTGTTACGCCACTTGATATATGCGTCGTTTCGCCACGCGAGACACGCAGGGTGGGGGGGGGGTGGCAGGGAGACCCGTGAAATACAACATAAAACTCGTAAATGATTTCGCACACGATAATCGTGCAGCCCCCGCGATTATCCCGATTTCCCGCGATAAGAGCCGCGATTCTCTTTTAATTAGATTTCGCGGCTCTCTCAGGCTAAAAATAACCTTGCTATTTTACGGCGCTAAAAATCGCACGTAACGTCCGGCGATCGCTTATTAGCGCGCTGATTAGAGTCCTCCGGTTATGCGTGGCCGTAATTAGCTGTTTTGCCGGTGCTTTACCGTTTTAATTTGCTCGGCCGGATTACGAACGATCTTTTCATGCAAACTGCGACGTGCGCGGAATTTCGGCGCAAATTGGTCGTGCGAAACACGCACGGAAATGCCGCATTGTACCATCGCAGTTCGCAAGTAGTTTGTAGATAATTAACGTCATGTGATCCCTGGGAAGCGCCTTACCCAGCCACGTTATCGGTCCAAGTGCAGTGAGTAGTCGCTTTGTTCCTCCACCGAGGGCTCAATACTGTCAAGGGAAGTACACATCGGCGGTTGACCGTAAAATTAGTGGAACGTCTCGGTAACTTGCCCGAAGTAAAACTGAATCTGCCTCAACGTATGGGCGCCGAGCTACGTCGCGGGACTTTCGATTAAATTCTCGAGAGTGGCGGAAGAGAGGCGTGGGAGGAAGGGGGGGGGGCGGGGAGAGGGAAGTGCTTAACACCGCGGTAGGCAGATTACCTCTCCCAGTACTGGTCTCGGCGTGGAATCGAAACGTGTCTCATTTTTCTCCCCTGATCAGCCATTAACGAGCACGAACCGCACTTAGCGCTCGCCCATCGATCGTCGAAAAATCCCCCGCGCTATCGTCTATTTAACACGATTAAGCGCGCGATTCGGCGGGCTAACAAGACTATTTGAACGAGAAGAAATTTTCTGAAAATCGACACGGCGACATTTCAGGCGTCTCCACGAGAAATTTCGAACCGGAGCATACGCGGTAACATGTCATTCCCGTTCCCTTGCTCTCTCTCTCTCCCTCCCTCTCTCTTTCTTTCTCTCTCCTCTCTTCTATCTCTGGCAGGATTCTCGGACCAATCATAAGGCGAGCGCTGGAGCGTAAAATTTCCATAAAGACCGCGGACCGCGTAAAGTGTTCGTACAAAGGACTGCTTTATGAATTCACGCGAGACCTATCCGTTCGAAACGTGAATAATATGCACCTGCCGCAACCATCGAATGAGCTACGTGCAGTCGTTTGCCCTCATCTCCATCCAGAGGTCACGTTCCTGTCGAATATTCGCCTGAATTCCCTCACGTTTTATCGTCCGAGCCCTGATTTTCCCGCGATCGAACCGGTGGCCTCGTGAACCGGACATAACCGCGGCCGTTTCCGCGATGTACGATTTCGCGGACCGAATTCCACGGCATTTACAAAAATGCGACGACGCGTGCGGAATCCGGATGGTCGTGCGCATTTCTTTCGGGCTATATCCGATATTTCGTTAGTTACCGTGCATTGTATAACAGTTGATTTCGACGTCGACTGCCAAGATTTCAAGTTATAACAATAGGCTCGATATGCTCTCAGAATTTCACATTTATACGAAGAAACGAGCATCATGCTAAGAAAATTATGGAGAATAAAAATCGTGAAATAGTAGTACTGACTTTTGTGAATTTAATAATAGAGCGTACAATTACAACGACCAAGCGGAATCGTGTGTGAAAGGCGGACCTACTTCGTACCTCACAACTGTTATTTTTTGCCGAAGCATTTGTGATCCACAGACCCAAATGATGCTAATATGGCAGCCGACCGTTCGGTGACCGCGCGGCAAAAATATTAATTAACCGCAGACCACACATCGTAAAGAACGCGGTCAGAGTTGACACGCGGTGCATAAGCAATAGCCCTATTCACCGACCCACCCAGAAACCGGCCTGAGCTCGTTGCATAAGTAGCCTACATAAATCGCCGGCTGGCGGCGTGTACCGGCAGGGATAAAGCGGAGTAGGAACACAGAGAGAAACGTTGGGGGAAACGGCACAGTATTGACGTTTGCATGTGTTCGAATGGAGATTTCGAGTAGCCGGAGCAGAAGG